TGGTACACAACTGAAGCAGTTTCTGGCGAAGATGCCGGCGGTCACGGCGAAGGTGTTTGGAGGCCGCCACCATGGCAGGTGTGAAGTCGCGTGGGGTGTTATGAAACAATCGGAGGATCATCCTGTACACCATTTGCACAGGCTCCATGAACACCTGGAGTCCACACATGTTTCGTTGGTCAGCACCAGCGCGTCTTCGGGGCAAAGAAAACATGTGAAGCAATTCACGCATTCCTACAGCAGCATACATATCCACCCTTCCTTGTTGCCAGGTTTACAGAGCCGATGCTAGTCGAAATCTCTACTGGCAGTTGTACAAGTCGCTTGCGGCCTACCGCATGGCACTTCGGGAAGAGAAGCGAAAAGGAAACGGTTTTGCATACGACTGGATCATTCGGAGTCGATTCGACGTGACCTGGATCCGTCCCCTTCCAGCGCTACGTTCATTTTCTCGGGAAGCGGTATGGCTTGGCCGCCACTATTGGTGAGCGTAGGTGCAACTAAAGTATTTCCGCAGCAATGTTTCGCTGATGCCCCTCGAGCTTTTGGCAAACGGAAACAAATCGCTTCCACCTCTGATCGAACACGTTGGATAGTGCCGAGTGATCCTAGACATCCGTAGCCACCCACCAGCGGGATCGTATCATCCCTCCCTTGCTCCTCGAGGTCCCACGATTGACCATGAGTTTCCTGATCTTCCTTTTTGGGCGGTAAAAAACGCGTATGAAAAGAACAAAAAATACCAATCGTTTGTCGCAAGGTGGGCAAGCATCATCACGAAGAGAAGGTAGCTTGTAGGCCTACCTGCTTACAATATCCCCTTCTTCCCCCCGCGCGGCCCCGTCCGTCCCTTCCTCATCGCCGCGGCGGACAAGTTAGGCCAGTATCAGACCACTTCGCCCTGGTACCGCGTGCTTTCTCAGACCTATTTTTTACGGTCGTAAGGACCTTCTACGCTTGTGACGGTCAGTCGTGGCCACCCACGGTATCGTGGTGGCAACCTGAGTGCTCTGGAGGCTTCGACGAGAGCGTTCTTTTTCGGCACCTCCACGCCTCAAACATACCGTTTCGGTACTACTTCAACTTCGAGTACATCATCACGCGAGGAGAGCTTGGTGGAAAGTGCCACCTAGGGGAAACATTGTACTCCGAATCATGCAGCATTTTGAAGCTTTGGAATGCGTTTCAGCCGTCATATAACAGGTGATCAATCGCGGTTCGCTCTCTCTTTCGTCAGGTCATTTCGTTTCGATTATTCAAGAAAGATTGTTCATGGGACACCTGCTTTCAACACCTCCGTGCACTTGTGTTTTTTTGTCACCAGATGAATAAATCCTATGCCCCGAACACGGTCGTACAAACTAGCGTGGGCTACCTCCCTGGCATCACCCCCGTCTGCCTACCCCCCCACTCCGAAAACAGGGAAGACTGCATAGAGGCACTCGCGGAATGGGCAAACCTCCGTTGCCGGGCTATCCTACCTGCCGAGGGGATGAGCGACCCTCGAAGGATACAAGCAGTCACCGACCCACATGCTCGAGCATGGCAAGCATTAATCGCAAGCCAACCTCTCGAACCTACTTCGTTGGCGAAATCGTCTGCAACAACAGCGGCGGCAGCAGCCGCGACAGAAAATGCACCGCCCACGTTAGAAGGGACTTCGTTCGCCAGAGGCTCTGTTAGGCCCACCTCCGTTCCCCACGTTGATGAAGTGAACCGTGCCCGGTTGAAGCTGGTCTCCCTCAGGGACGCAGTAGTGATGCCCGCACGCTCGCGTCTACCTCAAGATGATGTCGAGAGGGGTCCATCGGGCGGCTTCATGGCTTGGGATGGAAGGAATCCGCTCCCGTTATGGTCAATATATTCGCATAATCAATGCCCTCTTACAGAGGTGAGGTGGAGACTCTAGATTTCGCGTTCTCACGCTCCTGCCTGAGTCAAGATACCCATGATTGCATCTGTGTTCCCTACTGAGCGAGGCGCATAATTGGCACCTCCAGGTAAAGATCGAACAAGCGGTTTAGGCCCGGGTGGGAGGGAAAAGGACAGGAAACAAGATAGAGCCAGTGCAGCCAAAGCGGAAAAACAGAAGAACGAGGAGGGCAAGCGACATCCAAACAACAACCGCCACGCTGTGTGACGCCTAACGAATCGGTGTGCTGACGAGAGGCGCCGAGATTTGCAATCAGTTGTCAGTCATCACAGCACGGGGCACTTGATTAGGGTAAACACACAGAGGACTAAACAGTTACCGAAAACTGTTCCCGTTCAGCGTCAACTCATGCGCTCGGCATATGCCGTCAACACCTGCCGACACTCGCCTTAGAGAAATTGGGTGCCTAAGTCGTTCCGCCCTCCCACCCGCCCGTTGTATATTCTCCAACCAATCGTCCACAGAAGCACAAGGGTCTGGTCCCGCACGTCGTGTTGTACTACACCATGGGAGCATCCCTCGTTCGAGAACTAGCACAGGCTATCAGGTGCTTCGTGCATCACGAGATTGAAACAACGCCGGAAACTGTTCCAATGACTGACTTCCACGGAAAGTCGTGCGAGGGCACCAGGTGAACAGGATCGAAATCTGACTGTTGGTGTAAACGTCCAGAGAGTAGCCCCATTGGTTGCGTCTCGTTCACGACGGGTGACCCATACATGTCATGTAGAACGCAAGCATAGACTCTGATATTCGTCTTGGTCAGCCTAAAACGTGCTTGGCGAAGGTTCCACATCAACGAGGGTATAAACAAGCGTGCCCAATACTTGTTAAGCATGCTAATTGTAACAGTCCAGCGACAATACAAAACACCAAGCCTTACCATCCACTCCGCCCCGCCACGTGGGGTATTTCGGACGCCGGGGGAATATCCGGCATGCACAATGGCACCCTTTTGTCGGCCCGCCGCGGGTGATCGGGACGATCTGAACGGAAGGGCGCTGGAGCTCGTGATGATCGACGTGTCTCTCCACATAGAGGAGGTAAGTCAGCATTTTGTCAGGTGGCTGGCCAACTTCGGTGAATGAATGTTGGTCGACAACCACACTAAATACGTGTGAACCAAAACACCGGTCAAGATACTGGAATAGGGCACACGGCCATCACTCAAAAGGAACAATGTACTGACGCGAAGTGCACATCCAATGTCGATGGTCTAATCCAAAATATTGTCAATGTCACCATGTAGCAGGCACTCTGACTCATCAACGGTAGTTGATGTAAGTCTTTGCAGCCTTCTGCCTCTCCTAACTTTCTTGAAGCGGTCACCGTCGTTGCGTTTCTGTTCCTAGTTGGGCATCTGCACTGCTGACGGCAGCCTTGGATTGAGCGCGTACGAGAACGTTGAGCGTTTCTTCAGGGAACCCGCTACACACTGCATGCAATATGGAAGACTGGGCAACGAATGAACCGTCATTCAACCTCGTCGGTTGTGGAGGCGGCGTCGTACGATGGCTTGCAATTAGGCAGGCGCGGATCACCACGAATACACGGCGATCGATGATGAGATGACCCGAGAAAGCGTTGAAGGTTGGGTTTTATTCACCGTACCACCGTGGACCCTAGAGCCCTTCAAAGGTGCCTCGTCAGCAAGCTCTGTTAGAAGCTGCACCATATCGGGCCACCTTCCGAACTTGTTTCCAGGCAAGGCTTTCACACGCCGATCTAGTTGGGGTATTCTACAAGTTTGGGAGACTGGCTTGCGAATCCGGCCGAAGTAGAACACGGCGCCTGAAACGTTCTTCGATTTTCACTTCCAATGTTTGTTAGACCCACTAGTCAGACGCTGAGTTTTCTAGCGACTCCGCTCATTCGTTTTCTATATGGCAAACCTGTTTCTGCCGCTGGGTTTGGGATGCCGAGATGAGGAACTTCACTGTGTCGGAGGTGGGACAGGGACGGATCCAAACGCTTCTATTGCTTTGATTGTTAGCGAAACGTATGGAAATAGATATGCATTCAGCAATATACATGCTGGCGAACAGGAAGAAAAGGCCCCAAATTGCAGGAACTATTTCTCAAAAGAGGGCTATGTGGCGATTGATCGCTCCAGGGCTTCGGCGTTATCACATTTAGTTGCTCTGCAGCCTCATGTCGCATTTGCGGGGAAGTAAACGTTGAGCACAGGCCTCCGATCTTGACCTTTGTAGGAAATTTGGAAAGAAGGCTTGCGTAGGCTGCTGTACAAGGCGGCATACAAACGGGAATGCCCGGTGAGCGGGTTGTTGGAGGACGGCCCGCCATACGATTCGTTGAGGTGTATGCTGGAATGGCCATCGTATACGCATACAAGATGACAATATGTGCTAATCTTCAATGCTGCCGATGTTGGGCGTCATTTATCTGCATGGCCACCACACCCTACACACTCAGTATCATTCCACAACAAGCATAGGCCATGGTGGTACGAAGAGACGTGAAGAACTGTGGCAATGCTGGTTGCCGTTGAAGGCTTTTTTGGTGGTAGTAGAGAAACGAAACGGACTTTACAAGAGTGAAATCGAGTACGGTGTAGCCCCATCGAGGACGGATTGGAAAGGGCGGAGATATTAGAGACACTTCTAACTGGACGCGTTCAAATCGTGTACACAGCATTTAACCGAGCAATTCCTGGACTTCGTGGGACATTCCTTCGGAAGCGCTGGAGGGTTGACTTTGTCTGTTTGGAATGATGTACGGGTTAGCTTCTTATGTTCGAGACACAACTTAACCAAGTTCTCCCAGTGTGTGGTATGCAGATATCTAGCTACTAATCATGCGTCTGAAGCAACCTTCGAAATCGTCCGGTGCGCGCGAAAGTGTGGCGGAAGATGTAGAGCCAGACAAACGCATGGAAGAACACCTCAATCGGGTATCACAAGAATCTGAGAAACACTTTGATGGGATTCGCCACAAACAAACCAAGCGGAGGACGAAACAGGCAACAGTATGTAGGCGACAACACCATCCCCGCGTATCGTGAACTACCACAATCAGGCTGGCTCTTAAGAAAAATCTACTGCAACTTGTCCCACGTACATATGCAGCACAGGAGAACACGTTGCTCAAGTCCGCTCCACACGCAAACCAACGTGGTGCAATACATTGCGTACAACACGACGTCGACCACACTGCAAGCAGTACAAATGAGAGTAATGTTGCCTTTCCCCGCAAAAACGAGGGTGCAGTCAACGGTGAAAATCTTAGTTGCACCCAGCAACAACGTTTTGCTCAACTCAACTTTTGCGACAAGGAAGTTCTAGGACGAGAAATAAAACAAGGCACAAACAACAGAGACAAATCAATCAACGTCGATATCGTTGTCGCTACCGTTGTCATCTTGGGACCAATTCCAAACAACGCCTTTTGTAGGAAAAAAAATGAGCGGGATACGCGCCCGCACACACAACCAATGTTTCATGTCGAGCAGGCCCGTCGCGCAGTCTACCATGTGCAAACCACACCATCGCACATACAATCAAGGCTACTCGCTATCGTCGTCATCCTCGTCGTGAGATACGACCCTCCTCATGCTGCCCCATGACATGCCCACTAGCATGTTGACTGTCAGCGGGCACTTGATGCCCAGCACCGCCGGAGCTTCCACCTCCATGCAGTCGGCCAGCAAACCCTGGAGAAACCAAGCTTGAGCGTTAGTCGCGACATAACCAACAGCAGCGTCAGTCACGTTGTTCAATACCCATGCAATCTGCCAGCGACTCCTAGAATGAGACCGAAACGGAGAGAGGGTGCCAAGTCTACATGGGCAGTAGTGCCTGCCCATCGCACACATTTCTACCGGCCTTTGTGTCAACATCATGCACGTCGCTGATACTACCACTACCCCAAAAACCGTGTGTCGGACTGATATCTTGCCACCAACGTGTTCACCCCCCAACACGAACGATATCGGGTAGATGTACTGTGGGTCACCTGAAACTCCAAAACATCTTGGAAACTTCCGCCCACCCCTATTTCCAGGTGGAGGTCGGCACGTTCACATGTTGCGATCTGCACTGTACAGTGCTGAGACACAATATGCCTAATTCTCGTATGCACACGCAGCGGATATTCAAAAATAATGCCAAGATACGCCGAGGCATATGAAATGGAAGGAGTAGTCGGTAACTGAAGGAGGAGTGCTGAAAGTTAAGACGGTGCATCAAGTCAAGCTACGACATACCTTGAGTTTCTCCAGGTCTTCCTCACAGGCCGGGCACTCGAGAACAAGTTCGTCGTGGATCTAACGCTCCTCCCGACAAAACGTTCGCGTTGCGAAAGCCGTCCACACACAATGTTATAGAAAAAGACAAACGTCATGGAGACTACACAGCAGTTGATCGTTCTTGCTCAAATGCTCTATGATTCCGGGCAACTCGGGCTTGGTTGTCGACAGAAACTCTACCAGAAGCAAACGGGATTGTGTTGGTAGACGGAGTGTTTCATGTGTTATGCCCAGCGCATATGCTCCGGGGAAAAATGGCCAAGAATGGGCGATGGTTAAGACGAGAACCGTAGAGACGGATGATTCATTGGCGAAAGGTTGCAATTGAAGAGAATTCGGGGTTCATGTTTAGCGTGAATTCACCTGAAACAAGGACACGCGAAAGAATTGATGACATGTGTTGAAACCATGGAGGGCAAGAGGGAATAAAGGGCACCGCCTCCACAAACCAAGGAGACATAACGTGAATCACACGGGGGCATGTCCCTGGCCCGAAGACTGCCGCAGCAAATCCTGGGGATCGCCATATATAGGAACGTTCTTGGTGTCACGAAAGCGTTGCGTTTTCGTGAATAGGTGGTGGTATTCGCTTGCCGCACGTGGGCTTGCCAGGGCGCATTCCTGACAAAAAGAGTAGTTCAGGACCCCAGCTAACCCCGAAAGAAAAACTTTGGGACCCTTGAAGGATTGGTGCTCTCTGTACAAATGCGGTGCAGGATGCGAAGTACAAGTACTCCACCACAGCGGGTCCTCTTGGTTGCGTTGAATCCTCAGTGATGGTGCAAGATGTCTCGCTCGCCCGAGTAACAGACGGTTAGTGTTTGCTACACCTGAAGGATGCATGACATAAATATACTCCGTGGTTTGGATTGTCCCCTTGGCGTGTTGTTCGGTGACTTATGACTCGTGTAGATATCTCGGGAAATATGCATATTTTTTCACACAGTGCTCCTCGGTTTATATACTTGAAAATATTCCAGGATGCAATTCCTGGCTTGATTTCATCGCTGCGCGCCGCACCTGCATGATGAGCCTGGGACAGTCAAGGCCCTCATCCAGGCGAGACCGCCAAGCATCGAGACGACGGGCCACCAGCACCATGGCCGTCTTCATGATGTCGGCCGCGGTACCCTGTGCATCCAACGAAAACATAAGCCGACCACGACCCCGAATGTCCGGACAAAACACCAGTCGGAAACACCGCTCGCAGTATTTTACGCATACACGAACATGCAGGCGGAGCATGCTGTTGGTGCTCCGTTCTGCCTTTCACAAGCTCCTTGCTACCTTTCAAGATTACTTTCAAAATAGGAAACCGACAGAGAACACAATGAAACGACGCATCAACACCAAACGCCTGAAACCCGCCGTTGACGGCCTGCCTCTCTCCGCGTTCGCGTTTAGCGTTGTGGTACCGTTCGACGTCCAAGCGGATCGTAGCATGTGCGTAACGATGTCCAGAAACAGACACGACACCACGAGCAGTGCAACCAGGAACACCACAAAGTGGGAGAAGGACGGCACACCTGGACAACGCTGTTGACCGCCTGCCTCTCCGCCTGCGCCTTCGCGGCCGCGTTGCGAGAGTTGTTGATCTCGGGCAGGTGTCGGCGCCGTCCCGTCAGGGTGCAAACATAGCCGTTCTCCCTCGCGAACCTTTGGCCACAGATGAAAAAGAAATGACCGATGTCAATCCTCAGTCTTGAAACCACGCCAACTTTATCGTCTTGTGTGTATGTACCTTCGCAGCTGCTAATCACAAAACAAAAAAACTCCCCGCGGATCTGTTAGTGCTCATCATTTTTCTCGCCCTTCGCAAATAGTCTAGCTAATCTTCGCTGAGAGCTTTGGTGTCTGCACGGTGTGCCGTACCTGCGTGTGGCGGCCATGAAGGGCTCGATCCCGGGAAAGGCTTTCAGGAATGACCGCACGAGCCCTTGGGCCTACAGGTAGAACAACAGTTTGCGCGGCGGAATCGGGAATTACTGAGAGGCACTCGTTGTTCTGCTGGCCGTGGAACACGTGCCGTAGATTATTTCGTGCCCGCAAGCAGGCGTTATAGGTATGGCGGGCGCGGCATCAGTATTGAATTTCGGCTTCTGCTACTACAGGACAGACGTTTCCTATTGATGATATTCGGCAATTCTTGATGGTCTGCGCCGAAAGAGGTAGGCAAAAGGCAGCACTCATCGTCGTGTTTTTCAACAATTCGTCAACAAGCAAAAGGTATCAGGCTACCAGATAGGATGCAATAGTCTAGGAACCAGTCCACAGTATCGAGTTGCTTTCGTCAATTAGCAGAACAAGTCGATATACTACGTTGGTTTAGTGCGGCGCTAGAGCTCTCGTCGAGGCCACACAAGCCGTTACAAGTACTCACTCTACAAGACGCTTCACCACCTCACTTCATGTTCAACAGAAATACTGTGCATGTCTACCCTACAGCGGGTTTCGGCCATATGGACGTAGTTTACAGCGTCCCGGCCAATGAGCTAGGTCGTTTGGATCATGGCGTTCCGGTGCCTGGGGTCAGACAATCATGCTGTTGTGACAATCAGCAGGCAGCCCACGCCATCAAAACCGCTGTGGGGCATTCACTTTTGATGCAGATAATCGTCGTTCTTCCGGAAACCTGTTTCTTTTCGCTGCAACTCTCGGGTGTGGCGTTTCGCACACCTCATGACAACGAGTACCAATAACCAAAAACGGACAGCACCAAGAACAACTTCCCATCTGGGCGTCGGGCTCGTCCATGTAACACGAAATCGTTCACTTATAGGAAGCCCACACTTGAACGGCCATGGAGGTCAGGCACGCGCACCCACCTGACTCTCGGTGATCTCTAGCTTTTTCGCCACCTGCGGAGTTCCCATACCTGCGATGTTTCAACAGCGAGAGTGAACTTTGGCGATTGCACTGTGGTGGCGTCAACTTCACGATGTAGTACTGTAAGACAGACAGACACTTGAGAGCGCGACAATACTTCAATTTCCGAGCAATAGGAGGCGTCAATAACAGCAACGTAGGACGTATGTACAGGAGTCTGCAATGCTTGGCGGCGCGTATCGTGGCAACGTCGGATGATCCTCGCGATCGATTGTGCCGTCACTAGGTGTAAGATAGGGGTCTCGAGGTTTGTCCTCAGTATATTGAGAGGCCACGCACGTCGTGTAGAGAGAGAAGTGGAAAGTCGGAGATCGGATGTTTCAGTAGGGGATTGAACCAGATTTTTCAGAACACCTCGGCGAGTACGACCAACTAGTAGACATTTCCGCCTTCTTCCTTCTTGACTCTTGCTGCTCGGGCACGACATGATACGGAGGGTATACAACCGAAGGAAAGGACGAAACACAGACAGCACTGAAGGAGAAGCGTTCCCTGGGACAGCGAACCAAGAGGACAACGGACAATTGCACCCAACACAGATGTCCCTGATGCAACGACAACAACCCGAAATTCAACACCGAATCCCACTTTACACTGCCCCTCCCGGTAGGCCCGCGCAAAAACACTACCGGGCGAGCGGGCGAGAGCATGTGAGGGTCACGACCACGAAAATCTCTACACGATCGAAGGGAACAACATAAAATAACGAATCTCTGCGCGGAAGGTTTCGAGACAATCGTCAACAAATTTGCCGGTCGCGTACCGTAGGTGATTCCCAGGCAAACCACCTTGGCGCGATTCCGCTCTTCGTCGCTGACGCTTTGTTCCTCCTTGCCGAACACCTAGGAACGTGTGTCATGACGTTTTCGTAGAACCGAACCTCTTGTCAAGTCCATCACGTATGTCAAACTCATCACAGGCACGCTGAACTCCTTCCAGCCTAACAAGAGGCAGAGGACTAGCTAGCGTTGTGAGACAATCTCTGTGCGCTCGAGTCTGGAATTTGGTTCTTCGCCCGGCTCCCCACTTCACACTTCCGAATTCTTTCCTTTCCTCATTTTGATATCCACGTTCTCCCTTTGGCTACAGTCACTGTGATCCGGGGTCATATATCCAACGCTCAATGCATCTCTCCCACAGACTCTGCATTCGGTGTGAAGCTCCGCCCACATTCACCAGACATTCGAAAAAAACATGGCCTCCTACGCGGTCCGAGATGATGGACTCGCACACACCAGAGACTGCTCACAAGCCTTGTCTCTACACGCCGAAGGTATGGGAAACGGAAACGCTCACATTTTAGAACCGCTGCTCATGCTCCAACTGAAACGTCCCCAACATGCCTATCACCTGCGATTCTTCCTTGTGTCACATTGTCATCCTCGGACATGCACGTTTTTTGCATCCACCGGAAGTGAGGGGTGCGTCGTGTGTGGCAACAGAGTGCTTTGAAGATACAATGGACGTTGGTAATGGACGTGTGTACGATGCACCTGGGCGATTGCCAATCTCGCGTTCAAACAACAAACGTCCCGTCTTGTTTGTCAAATGACCCCAACACAACAACCCCACACCTGCGCAACAGAGGCATAACACGGATATACAGCCCAAACGCGCAGCATAGCTACGAACCAGAGAGAGGAGGGGGGGGGTGACAAGCGTCAAACTACAAGCATCAGTGGAATACGCTCCACGCACCTGCGCAGCCAGTTTTCTGTACACGTCGCCCCCGCCAGTGCCAGCACCCGCGTCGTTCGTGCCCCCGAGAGTGGCGAAGAGGTTCCTCAACCCAGGGTCTCGGCAAGCGTCGGCGAGCACCCTCATCTTGTTTGATAGCATTTGGGGGGGGGGGGGG